GCAGTGTTATTATAGGAGAATTCCTTAATTTCATCATAAATTTCAATGTTGATATTGGTAAGTATTTACTCTTTCCATTAATCGCCTAGAATATTAGTATATACATCTATCACTAGCAGTAATTTTAGTTTGTAACCCTCACTGCTACTAATAAATGCAGGATTATTTGTTTAAACACCTATTTTAAAGTCATTCAACTGATCTGATTTGATTATATCTAAGTTCATTTAGGAGTTATCATCGAGAATTATTGCCAATTTTTTGTTAAAGCATTCCTCGGCTGGACCTAATTTCATTTAAGGTATTTAGTAATATTCCACATCTGTAGATATCTTATATCTAATTTTTAAATCTTTAATATCTTTTATAATTTTGAATTCTTCTTGACAACGATTAGTTACATTCAAAGTAAACATGTCTTATGCTAAAATTAACCTATTAGCTGGATCGGCCCCATCAGTTATCTAATAAGTAATGTTAAATTAAAAGAGTCCTATCTTAGTTATTTCATTAAACTTGGTAGAAATATTTGCTGTCATAAATGCATCTTAGCTTTAATTGAAAAATCTTAAAAATCCTACATTTTCTACATCATTGTTCTAGATCTCTATAATGAATTACCTTTTAATACTACCTTCACTACAATCACTGGCAAAAGCAAAACTTGAAAAATAAATTTAGCACTACAGACCCAAACTGCAATCAATTACTGAAGATAAATTCTCAGGTATTCTCACCTATTTTACGATTAACTATGATACATTATAATCATTTTCCCCGATTAAACTTTAGTTTCGCCATAGTTTTACATAGGCCAGATTATTCCTTATCACATCAATAGCTGGTCTTATTATGGAATTATTATATATATTTTCTTTAGTTCCAGATCCACCAATTGATGATTTTGAATTTAATTATTAATATGTTTAATTCTTTCCCTAATCCTAGTTTTCAATAATGCTATAGTAGGTATTGCTATTTAATTAAGTAAAGTAAGCGCTTTATTAATTGTTATGAGCTAATGTACTTCCAAGATGAAAGTAGTCGTTAATATCATTGTATAGATACTTAAATTATCTTGGATATATGTTATCATTTGGAATTTTAAAATCCTCATAGATGACATTATCAAATAATTTTCCAGCGTCAAAAGGATCTGACTACATCTTAGCAATTATAATTCTAACTTGATTTTCAAATAAAGTTTTATAGACAACTTAGATATCATTTCTCTAAGCTACTATTACAGCGAGGCATTAAAAGCTATTTTAAGTTTCAGCCACATTTCTGTATGTTACCATAAAATTTCCACTATAATATTAATGAATAACCATTCCAAGAAGAGGTTTATTTAAAGCTTAACTCTCTAAGCATCCCACAATATAGCCTTTACCATCACTCATTTGAGGAATAATGGCGTCGTAATTCACTAATGCATTTGCATTATGTAATAAACCACTTGTACTTGGATTATTTCCAAAGAATCCCGTAACAAAGATCCCAATTTATTGATCTTAAGTGACTCGAATTCCCATCAAGCATACAAGGTCTATACTCTAAATAAGAAGTATGGAATTGAAAATTGAATTTGCTTATTCATTTTACTTTATTATTGTAATTTAAGATAAATCTTTTGAAATAATGCTTATTACTCCTCGTTCATTAAGATCAGCATAAAGAATAAAAATCTCTCCAGTTGAGCTTCTTACTTCTAAGATGTCAGGGGAAATTTAAGCGGCCATCTTTACATTTTATATTTAAGCAGTCTATACAATTTATCCTTGCAAATTTAATCTAATTATCAGATAATTTCCCTCTGTTAAATGCTAAGTTTAGCTAATTATTTCAGATCTAATTAACGCGATGATATTAGTTTATTATTAAAAGCTTATTGCTTCCACCTGTGATAGTAGAACAGTTGATTGTTAAGACTAGTAGTTATATGAATTTAGCCACATAAATCTATTGATAGTTTTTCTATAATTAAATAATCCTATAACTTAATCATTTCCAAAGGTCCCTCCAACAGCAAAGTAGTATAAATTCTAGTCAAAATCTAGGGCTGTAAATTCTGAATTTGTTGATTAATTATTATCCAGTTCAACTGGTAGCTATTTAAGTCCAAAGCATTACGGTTTAGCAGCAGCAGTTCTATATTTAAATCATTAATAAGACAATCTTATAAGATATGGTTTAGATTTAATACATAATTTAGGATTTTTCTGATGATAATAAAATCACTGATTGAAATAATCTACTTTACACTTACATAAAATTGCTCCATTTAATTGTTTGTACCAACTGAAAAATATATATTCTCTTTTAAAACTTTCTAGGCATTGTTTTAGCTAGAAATCCAATCATTATAAATTCAACGTATAGATCACTTATTGCTAAGTAATTAAGATTATAAAATATAGAACTCAGATAATTATTATCTGGTTGATAGCCAATTTAAGTTAGTCACTATGGATCATTAGTCATCTTTATCTCAATTCGTAAGTCTTCTGTAATGATTTTGAGAATTGTAGTATTTTAAAACAGATTTACCAATTATCTAATTTTAATGAACTCAAATGGTTTAAATTCTTATAGCTAGCATTAATTGAAGTATTGGGGAACATAAAGATATGATATTCTAAATTTCTTAAATTAAAATCCAGAATTAAATTTGAGTGATTCATAATGTTAGTGAAAAATGCAATTATTACTTACAAGTATATAGCAATTAAGAAAAGACAAGCTAAATTTTTTCTACTTTTTCCTTTATTTATCAGCATTTTGATTAATATTATTTAAACGATTTTATTGCTTATTAAATATCAATGGCATAATGCACAGTTTCATATCAATTCTAATTTTAGATTAAATCTACTCTTCAACATAAGTTAAATTTTACTATTGTGGGGTTTTGGGGTTTTGGGGTTTTGGGG